TGATTGATATCGGTGTCGTTTACCGGGCAATCCCGGAGAATCATGGTCCCTGCGGAAAAAAATCTTAAAAATAAGAAACTCTTCCGGTTGATCATCACTCGGTTTTCGATTCGATATTTCTCAACTTTTTCCGATTTTCACTTTCCAGGTTGATCACTCCACTGATTGATCACCCTTGGTTGATTGCTTTATAGGCTGATCACTCGCACGATTGATCACCGACTTCGCTTATCAATTCAACAAATTGAAGTTCGTTCCGTCAATGGAACAACATTCCCATGTTGTATATAATAAAATTAAAAAATTTATTGTTGATCATATGTTTTCGATACTTTGGGTTAACATTAAATTTTTTTAAAAAGCTCTTAATACTGTACAATTGTCTACTGTACAATTGTCTTCTGTACAATTGTCTCACTGTACAATTGTCGCACTGTACAATTGTCATGGAGCCTTTTCTATTGAGTATTGAAGTAGAAAAGAAAAAGAGAATGTGAAATACAACACAATTTCTCTAATGTATGAAAAAATTGATTAAATTTTAAATCCCATCAAATCATTTAAATTTAATGGACATTTTGTCCGTCTATTTTTCCAATTCCTTGGTTTAATTACCCAAGTTTAAGGTATGTATTTCTATACTACTTGGGATAAATTTTGGAAATGTATTTCGAAAGAAATACTTAAAATTGATTTAATCTGGAATATCACAAAAAAATTTTTTTGCCATAGAAATTCTGGAAATTTGCGGTTGTATAAAGACTATACTGATTCAATATTCTGCGTGTGCACATCAGGATTTTTTTCCGACAAAATTTTCGTTATGAATATTTTCGTTTCCTATGAAGAGTCCGATCTCTTCGAGCCAAGCATCGAAATCGTCGACACTTTATCTCAGTTTTCAACCAAATTAATCTTAGTGAATTTTTTAGTTGGTCCATATAGATGGGCCGAAAAGACTGAAAGAAAAAAGGGGCGAATTCCAAACTATTACCGAGTTCCATACCATTACCAAGTTCCAAACTACTACCAAACTATATTCAAACTATTACCAAAGTTACAAACCGAGTTCCAAACTATTAGGAGATTTTTTAAAAAATCTCCTAAATTCCCCGACTTTCCGGGTCGGGGACGGTGACCACCCTACTATTTGTAGTTGACCTCCAGTTCACGACCATCATAGTGACCTCTCTAAGGAGTTGAATATTAGGGTTGATCCCGATTTTGCTTGCTTCTAACTTTTATTTAATTTATGAAACTTTTAGATTGCTTTCCCATAAAGTTAAATTACTTGCTTAGGGTAATTCAATAATATAATAAAAAGTTTTATAAGAATGAATGATTATGCTGACATCTGCAATCTAAAATAATAAAGATTAACTGTTTTTGCCTTCTCCTTGTTTTTCACCATTCACAATTTTTGCTTGGTTAGCATTTTCTTTTCCTTTGTAGAATTTTTCTTTTATTCTAAGTAAAATTTTATTTTTATTAGATTCAAAAGTGGTAGCGGAGGATTGAATATTTTTACATTTTCAATCTATTTCAGTTAAAAGATATTTAGAATTCTTAAAACAATTTAGTATTTCAAAGTAAAGGATGTCTAAAATGATTAAAAATGATGCAACAATTATTAATAATTTGCCCTTATTAAATAATCCAACAGAAAAAGAACAAAAACAAATTCCGACAGAATTTATTTGCTTTCTTTGTAAACGCGTTTTTGAACAAGTTTAGAGGATATTTTTAATTTTTCAATTAAACACAACTTTTAGCCTTTATTGCTTAGTTGTGGTCATCCATTTTGCCGTAAATGTTTACAGCCGTGGCTTCGAAAGTCAACAAATTGTCCTTTTTGTCGATCCAACACACTTACTCCCATATTTAACAATTGTTTGGAGGAAGTAAGTATTAATAAATTTATTTGTTGGGACATATAACTTCCGAACATAATACCTGCCTAGTTTCACACATGAAACCTTGAAAATTTCTCTCAAATTTTTTTATATCCTTGAACTACTCAAAAATCTCAGAAATTTTAGTAAGATATTACTGAACTTATTGTCGATAAGCCTTGAAAAGTTAAAAATTAAAGGAAAACAGACACTTGAATAGACACTTTTCTACTAATTTATATACGGTATTTGACGTGGAAGGTTGTTTGCCCTAACATTTATAAACTTAAATTAAAAATTAATATTATTTTAGAAAATATTAAATTTTAAAAAACAAAATGAAAATTTAATTTCAAATGCAAATAATAACAAAGGATTTATTCGTTCTTTTGTCAGGCGAAGTATTCGGTCCGTAAAAGAGGTAGAAATCAAAATAATAATTAATTAAAATATTTTAATAGCCACAAACATCATTGCAACGCGAAGCTTTAAGAGCCAGTCAACGCAAGCCAACTAAAGGAATTGTGATTCCTGCTAAAAATGATATGGAAAATAATTCATTTATAAGAGTAAATGGTTTGAAAATAAATTTTCATAATAAATGACCATAAATAAAATTAAAAATTATTTTTTGATTGAAAAGGAAAAAACAATACTATCTAGATATCCTACAAACACTGATAAAGGGGAGCTGAAATATTTCAAAAGCCTTACGGACTTTCAAGATATTTTTCTCGAACTTTTTATGCGTGTTTCTCATTCTATATTTATGTATATTATAAAAAAGATCGTGTAAAATCCTAGCCAAAATTTAATTATTAACCCAAATTTAAATTTTTTCTAAACTGTTCCTTGGTATACTATAAATACTCTTTTTGGACAAATACTAATTCCTTTTAAGTTGACAAAGAAAATTTGAAAAAGGAAATAAAGAATGAAGACAAAAAGGAGAATAAGCCTTCTTTTCCGCGAATGGGCAATTTAAGACGAAGTTTTGTCCGAATGTATGGGAAAAAGAGCTTTACAGGTATTTAATTACTTTTAACTCCTTGAAGTTAGTAGATTCAAAATAAATATTTTAGACCAAAAAATTAATGATTGCCACTCAATTTCGACTTGTTTATCTCAAAATGAAATTATTTCAAATAAGGAATCTGGAAATACAAATGTTAGTTCTACTAGAATTGAGAGAGTTAATAATAAACGTATTATAATATTAATCTAATTATTTATTCTTAGAATGACTGTCATTTTACTATTTGACTAAATATGTACAGGGTGCGGCAAATTGGCGGCCGCTTTTCTTTTTGCTATAACTTTTTTAATTTTTAACAAAAATCGTTAATTCTTTTTTACTGGATTCCCAGTACTTTAGCAATTTTTTTGATATCAAAATTGTCTTCAAATTTCATGATTTAGTCTGTTTAATCTTCAATCAAATTTCGAGCAAAATTTTTTGGATAAAAGTCAGTCTAGCTTCAAGGCTATAATTTTGATCTTGGAAATTTTAATATCATTGAAATCAGCTCTTCAATCTGATTCGATTGACGTCAAAATCTGGCAGCTATTACGTAAGTGAACCGAGATACGGTCCTCTGAATGTTAAATAAAAATAATTTTGGTAAATACAAAATTTTTCGGTAAAATTTTCAAAAATGAAATTATAAGCTATTTCGATGCGCCTGAACAAGACGAGTCGATTGGTACTAAAATCATCGGGATTGAATAATTTTTGACGAAGTTATGATCAATTAAAGTTTGACAAGAAAAAATGTTTTTTGATGCTTTTAAATGTTCGGACCGGCATATCTTTATCATCTGTGAACCAAATTTCTATTTTTTGGTACCAAAAAAATTGCTAAAGTACTGGGAATCCAGTAAAAAAAGAAATAACGATTTTCATTAAAAATTAAAAAAGTTATAGCAAAAAGAAAAGCGGCCGCCAATTTGCCGCACCCTGTATATAAAATTGAACCGAGAAAAATTCTTATTTTTTATTCTGGAAGATCAAACCAGTACATAAATTTCCTTTTTTCTTTCAATATTTTTCAAAATTTTACTTTCATTCCCATTATGAATTTTGTAAATTATTTAATTATCAAAAAATTTTCTTTAAGGTATTTCCTCTTGACAAAGAAGGAATTAGTAGCAGTACTTCATTAAGCAGCGGATTTTCTCCACTATCCTCACATTCAAATATTTCTACAACAAACAGCAATAAAAATATTAATTTAAGTTACAGCCGATTACGTGCACCATCATTAGGTGTTTCTGGTAGCATTATTGCTAATAATCAAAGTTTAGATGAGCCCGAAACTTTGAATAAAGGGAAAAAGCGTTATGTAGAACATTCTTCATTAAATTCAAATAATATAAAAAATGGATGTTTTTTAATGTAAAAATGATATTTTTTAATTCATTATAAATAAATTCATTGTTACATATTAATTTTTATTTACATAATTTGCATTCAGTTTAGTGCGTCACGTTAACGGTCGAAATTCAATTTCCAAAAACTTTTTCCCTCAAAGAGCTACCTTATTATCTCGAGTAATTCCTGATAATTATGCCCTCCAGCAATAGGTTGAAAAAATAGGAAAAAAAGCTTTTTCTAAAAAAAAAAGCTTTTTTTTCTAAAAAAAAAAAAAAGCTTTTTCTAAAAAAAAAAGCTTTTTTTTCCCTATAATAAGGTAGGAAAAAAAGCCCCAGGAAAAAAAGCTTTTTAAATATTTTAGAGATTTGAAGTATTTATGTTCGAGTATGACGAGTTCGAATATGAGGATAGATTTTAAATGTGTTTCGAATCTCTAAAACAAAATTCGAGCTCAAAGGGATGTGTCAGTTTTTTAATTTCCTATTTTTAAATTTAATTCACTGTTCTAATTCGGTCCTCAAAAATCTGGCCTCATATTTGAACTCAGCTCACTTAATTACATACAATTGATAAACTACTAAAATATCGAAAAGTACTTCTTATTCTTTCTTTCTAGAAAGATGAAAAAAACAGCACTTTTATCAAATAAATACCAATGGTAAGTAGTGTATAATAGGGTTATGTCGGGGGATTCGCGGGGGATTAGGAGGGGATTAGAAGGGATTAGGAGGCGATGTCGGTGGGCGGCATCCTTTGAAGGATTAGCAATGGATTAGGAGGGTATGTCGGGGGTGGGGCGGCACCCTTTGATGCGCTCCCGACAAAATTTTCCTCTTCTTTTACAAGGGGAGGGGTCCGACAAAACCAAAAGGGAGAGGGAATGCCGCGGTAAAAATCAAAAGGATAAGTGGGCGAGGAGGGCCAGACAAAAGAAGATAGTGTGAGTAAATCAAAAGGATGAACATGGGTAGTAGTTTACTAATTATGTAATTAACTGTATGAACGAGGGATCCACTCAAACAAAGGGTGTAAGAGTGTTGCGGCTAAAATTCTTTGATCTTTCCGCTTAAATCCTATGGGTGTAGGGGGTTTTCGGAAGATTTCATTGATAATTTGTATGATCAATTAGCACTATTAATTTGTTCTTCTCCTCTCCTACTACTCTCTTCTCCTCTCCTACTAATATTCCTCTTCCCCTCTCCTTTCCCCCTACTCCTCTGCTCCTCTCCTTTCCTCCCACTTCCACTCCCTAATCCTCTTCTCTCCTTTCCTCCTCTCCCCTCTCATTTCCTCCTACAACTCTTCCTCTTCTCCCACTACTACTCCTCTTCCCCTCTCCTACTACTCTTCCTCTTCTCCCACTACTATTCCTTTTCCCTTCTCCTTTCCTCCTACTACTTCTCCTCTAATTTCCTCCTACTCCTCTGCTTCTCTCCTTTCCTCTTACTCCTCTCATTTTCTCCTACTCCTCCTCAATTACTACTTCTCTTATCTTTTCCCCTCTCTTTTCCTTTCCTACTACTCCTCTCTTTTTCTCCCCTTCATACACACGTCAAATCCTTTTGCAAAACTACAGTATACAATTGATTCAAGGAAAATTTGAAAAGATTTTTTAAACGTTTTGGTTAGCGATTGAGAGAAGTGAAATTTAATAAAATTTTTAAATATAATTTTTATTGTTTTTACATTGAACTAAATTTTTTATAAAAAGTTGTGCAATTTTAACGTTTAGAAGTAGTAGTTTTTAGGGAGAAAAGTGCACAATTAAGAGTTAGGAAAAGCAATGAGCATAATTATCGTTTAGAAGTTGTTAATTTTAGGGGTAAAAGTGCACAATTAAGCATTAGAAATTGCAAAATGCATAGTTTACAGTTTGAAATAGGTGATTTTAAGGGAAAAAGTGCATATTTTGACAAAAGATAATACAAATTTTAAAATTTTTTTAAATCAAAGGCTGTGCGCGTGTTTAGGCTATGCGTGTGTGTATTTAGGGTGTGCATGTGTTTTACTCTAATTAAAAATATAATTTTGGTAAGCCTTAACATTTTTATTTAAAATGAATACAAAATGAACAATTTTGAAGTTTATATAGTAGTATCACTTGTTATAGATCGATTTTTATCTAACATTATCAAAGCATCTGCTTCTCCCATAACTATGAGCATAACTCCTCCTTCTGGAACAGGCTGACTAAATTTAATATTTACAGCTGTTGACCCATTTTTTATTAAATCAAAAGTTCCTCCATTATCCTCACCACTATTTGTAAGATTGAAGACATAGATACAATGGGTTCGTCCATATTGTTGGTATGTTATCCCATTGTTATCTGGTGTACCCAATCCTCCCAGAAGTAGATTTTAATATCTCCTCGAGTGGAATAACTGTTTTAAGTTCCCGTCTTACCACTCCTCGATTTATTCCTTACGATCAGTCAGGGAGATGTAAGGAGTGTAAGAGTACAGAAGTGGAGATTGACTTTATTGTCACTAAGGAAGGAGTTACTATCTACTGCACACGAATCGGATCAGGTACTCGATTTGTTCCGTTTGATACAGTTTATGATTTGCCCACCCATTGCTTTTTCAAAATCAGAAATAAGGGAAGAGAATTCAATGTCCCCCATGGAGTACAACCTCAACAAATTATCCTTCAAAATCCAAAGAAAGGGAAAAGGAAATTGGATGAATTGTCTACTCTTGCTCCTCCCCCAAATAGTATGCCTTCACCTCCCCGCCGTGTTACTCCACCTCCTCTCGCTACTGATTTGCCTTCTCCTCCTCACTCTACTACTCCTACTCCTTGCGCTACTCGTTTGCCTTCTCCTCCTCATATTACACCAACTCTTCTTAAATCTCTTCCTCGTATTCCCCCCGCAAATATTTTGCATTCTCCTCCTCTAGTCGATACTCTTCGTCCTGATATACCTCCGGATAATGTAGAGTTAGAGAAGGAGCTCCAAGAATTTTATGATGGTTTAATGGCAGCTACAACAGGAATAACTTCATCTCCGAAGAAGTTAGAAGAGACTGAACAAAAAAAGGATGGTACAATAAATGCTCCTATATAAACCTTAATTTTTTCTGTAATGTTAAATTTTCCACTTAATATGGAATCACAATCATTTACTAATAAAGATTTGTATTTTAAATTACCATTTGGTATGATTTTGTAAGGCCCCAGCTCTAGCGGAAAGAGCTCATTCCTTTTAAAATTCATAGCAGACTCCCAAGATTTGATCGATCCCAGTCCAAAAAGTGTACTGTATTGTTTTGGAGAGATGAACGATAATATTCCTATCCTTCAAAAGTCAGGAGTTAATGTCTATGCAGGAGTTCCCCCAGAGGAGTTAATAAAAAGTTATTCAAAATCTTTACTCTTAATACTTGATGATTTACTCCTTTCCATAGATGAAAAATATCTTTCGGAATTGTTCACAAAAAAGTCTCACCATCAGAATTTTGCAATAATTTTTGTAACTCAAAACCTCTTTGAAAAAAAGATTAAGGTCGCCCGTCAAAATGCCCAATATATTATACTTTCTCCAAATTCTGCTCTTTCTATTAGAAATATCGGAGTGCAACTATTTCCACGTCAACTAGATTATTTTTTAGACGCGTATAAACAAGCTACTAATATACCTTATGGATACTTGCTCATCGATTTACATGCCTCATCAGATCCTAATCTAAGACTTAGGACAAACATATTTAAGGACGACGAAGAGAGGATAATTTTCATTTCAAAAAATGGTCAGTCAATTAATTTGCGAGAATAAAGATTTTTTACACTCTTTAGCGCTTACAAAATCTGAAAGGGTAAACAAGAAACTTTTACGAAAAGCTGATACTAACCAATTGTTATCAATTGTTGAAATTTGTTTGAATATTTTAAAATCACGTTTTAAACTTACTACTCGTCAGAAAAACCGTTTAATCCCACACGTTGATTTTATTCGTCACATGAGCCGTACTAGGAGTGAACGGGGAGTAAGAAAAGTTTTGAGGCAAAAAGGTGGAGGAATAGGACTATTTTCTGCTCTACTTACTCCTATTCTAATGGAATTTGCTCGAGCATTTAGTATAAAAGCCTATCAAATTAATTCAAATCAGTCTTAAAATGGCAAAAAATTAATTCTTGTCCCAGAAGAGATTTATAGAGGGCTTACTTCAAATAATTATGGGGACCCAAATTTAGATTTTATCAAAAAAGAAGTTGAGAATGCTAAAAGTAAAAAAGAAAACCTCTCTGCCAAAAATATTCATTATAACCAAGAACTTAGACGGTATCTGAAATTAAGGAATGAGATTGAAAATAGACCAGTCAAGGTTCAAATGGTGGCTAACTCCAAAGGAGCTATTATGAATAGAGATGTTACTAGACCTGCCTCAAACATTGTAGATGACGAAGATGATGATTTATGGATGAGTGATGATCTTTTCTTTTCCACATACCCAAGGGAGCCTCCAGCCTTATCATATAATATTGTTCCTCCTCTTACAGATTCTATAAACGAGCAGATAGCCCCAGAAACTAGACATAGAAACTTCTTAAGAGATGGAATTTCACCTACTCCTCCAAACCCTAGACAAAAAATAAAGAGAAAAATCGAGGAAGAAGATTATGGACAAAATAAAAGACAACATTTGATTAATCATAAAAATGAGGCTCGAGATGAGTATATGAAAATTTCTGAAAAGGCTAGAAATAAAATGCAAAAGTTTGAAAGGAAAAAAATGTTGAAAAATTGGAGAATTCCTTATACTCCTGAATATAATACTCCCGGTGATACAGATATTCCTCCATCCCCTCCATCCTCTCCCAGTCCAATTCTCCCTAATATTCCTGAAGGTTTTGATGCTCCTCTTGTATCAGACACTCTTCCAGCAAGACAAATTACAAAAAGAGGACTGGCAGAAGAGTTTGAAGGAACAAAGAGATGGAAAAAAGGATATGATGAACATGAAGAATCAAAATTAAAGCGTGAACAGAAAAGAAGGGAATATTTACAAAGAAAAATTAATATTCGAGAACAAAGGGTTCCCATTGATCAAGCAGCGTTACTTAAAACTCGTAAGGACGATGATATTCAAAGACGTCTAAAATTAAAAAGAAAATGGGAAGGTCCAGATGAAAGTCCTCTAATTGCCTTGAAAAAAGTAAAACCTGTCACAAAAATTCAATCAGCAAAAGCAGGTAGAGAATGGATGTTACGACTTATAAAAGCTAAACGTAAAGAAGCTGGTATAAAAAGATTTAAACCAACACTTTGGTAAAATGGCAGATTTCACAGAGCTATTACATCAACAAACGATGGATGATGGAAGATTTGTACCATTTGCTTATGGTACAGTAAGCAGTCTTAATTTTTAAAAATTGATAAACTTTTGAGACTATATAAACCCTCGTTTTATGTTTTTATTATCTTATTATTGATAAAAATGGTTCATGTTAGATTTGATACAAGTTTAGTAGGATTTGCTGAACAGAGTGGGAGTGGTGCAGGAAATTATTATTTTAAAGGAGCACCGCCATATCAGCGTGGATATGGGCAAAGAGGAGCAGGAGTTGGAGATGTTATGAGAGGATTGTGGAGATTTTTTCTCCCTATTTTACGTAGTGTTGGGAGTACAGTATCTTCTGAGGCACTCAACACAGGACAACGTATACTTGAAAGAGTAAATGAAGGACAACCTATAAAAGAAGCTTTTATTAGTGAAGGAAAAAGAGGAATCGATACAGTACTAGAGAAAGGAGGATTGCCAAAACAATTTGGGGTAGGAAGAAAATGTATAAAAGGAAAAAGAATTCCCTCACATCAAACATTTTTTAGACAAAAGAAAAAACGTTTAGACGCTTTTGGATTTTATTAAAAATGTCTTTTAAAAAGATTGATAGAGAAAGCCTTGATACAATTACAAATGCTGTAGAAATTTTTCAAGTTCCTCCTACCAATGTTACCATTTCATCCTCAAAAACATTTGAAATTCTCCCTAGTAACCCTTTAACAGACACACCTTATCATTTTAAAATTCATTCAAGTGAAAATTTTATTGATCTCTCGAAATGTTACCTATTCACCGAATTTCGAATCCGAAAAGAGAATACAACAGGTCAATATGTAAATATTACTCTTGATGAAAATGTTGCTCCTATACAAATGATAGGGAGTACTTTTATTAATAATATGAGAATAAGTATAAATGGAAGAGAAATATTTAATTCAAACTCTCTTTATGCATATAAAACTTACTTTTCCCATGAGCTATCTTATTCGTTAGGAGCAAAAAGTTCTCATTTAAATTCCGCAGGCTATTATTACGATTCAGGTGTATCACAAGAGTCCGGAGCAAGTTTTAATTCAAGAAAAAATTTGTTTGTTAATAGTCGAACAGCACAATTTATTTCAAAACTTGATGCTGATTTATTCAATCAGCCTCAATATTTGGTAAACCATTGTGAGGTTGATATAGAAATTTTGCCCAATGAACCAAAATTTATTCTTATTGCTCCTCTTCCTGTCGGAGCTCAACCTACTCGTTATATTTTTGAAGTGATAAGTTGTAAATTATATGTAAAAAAGTTGGACTTGATGGATGGCCTTGCTCTAGATATTGCCAGAAGACTTGACGTTAATCCTGCTCGATATGCAATTAGAAAAACAATGATGAAACCGTTATTTATTAGTCAAGGAAGATATGAGTTTCACGCTAATTTGTTTATGGATCAAATCCCTCGGCGTATTACTTTAGGATTAGTTGCAAACTCTGACTATGTAGGGACACAAGAGCGGAGCCCTTTCAATTTTCAACCTTTTAGAGTTAGAGAAATTAGTATTATAGCAAATGGGCGCTCATTTCCTCAATCTCCATATGATTTTGATTATGGTTCAAATCGTTATGTGAGAGCATTTCATGATATGAATGAGGCTATAGGATTTTCTGGTACACCAGATAACAATGGGATAACATACCAACAATATGGACGAACCCATTGTATCTATGTCTTCAATCTTACAAATAGTGGTGAGGATAATGGAGGAACTTTTGATTTAATAAAAAATGGGTCAACAGCTGTAAATATTAAATTTAGTCAGCCTGTTCCAGAAGGAGGAGTTATGCTCATAGTTATGGGAGAAGCAGATGCTTTGATAATGTTAGATAAAAATCGATCTATAACAAGTGATACTACTATATAAACTTCAAAATTGTTCATTTTGTATTCATTTTAAATAAAAATGTTAAGGCTTACCAAAATTATATTTTTAATTAGAGTAAAACACATGCACACCCTAAATACACACACGCATAGCCTAAACACGCGCACAGCCTTTGATTTAAAAAAATTTTAAAATTTGTATTATCTTTTGTCAAAATATGCACTTTTTCCCTTAAAATCACCTATTTCAAACTGTAAACTATGCATTTTGCAATTTCTAATGCTTAATTGTGCACTTTTACCCCTAAAATTAACAACTTCTAAACAATAATTATGCTCATTGCTTTTCCTAACTCTTAATTGTGCACTTTTCTCCCTAAAAACTACTACTTCTAAACGTTAAAATTGCACAACTTTTTATAAAAAATTTAGTTCAATGTAAAAACAATAAAAATTATATTTAAAAATTTTATTAAATTTCACTTCTCTCAATCGCTAACCAAAACGTTTAAAAAATCTTTTCAAATTTTCCTTGAATCAATTGTATACTGTAGTTTTGCAAAAGGATTTGACGTGTGTATGAAGGGGAGAAAAAGAGAGGAGTAGTAGGAAAGGAAAAGAGAGGGGAAAAGATAAGAGAAGTAGTAATTGAGGAGGAGTAGGAGAAAATGAGAGGAGTAAGAGGAAAGGAGAGAAGCAGAGGAGTAGGAGGAAATTAGAGGAGAAGTAGTAGGAGGAAAGGAGAAGGGAAAAGGAATAGTAGTGGGAGAAGAGGAAGAGTAGTAGGAGAGGGGAAGAGGAGTAGTAGTGGGAGAAGAGGAAGAGTTGTAGGAGGAAATGAGAGGGGAGAGGAGGAAAGGAGAGAAGAGGATTAGGGAGTGGAAGTGGGAGGAAAGGAGAGGAGCAGAGGAGTAGGAGGAAAGGAGAGGGGAAGAGGAATATTAGTAGGAGAGGAGAAGAGAGTAGTAGGAGAGGAGAAGAACAAATTAATAGTGCTAATTGATCATACAAATTATCAATGAAATCTTCCGAAAACCCCCTACACCCATAGGATTTAAGCGGAAAGATCAAAGAATTTTAGCCGCAACACTCTTACACCCTTTGTTTGAGTGGATCCCTCGTTCATACAGTTAATTACATAATTAGTAAACTACTACCCATGTTCATCCTTTTGATTTACTCACACTATCTTCTTTTGTCTGGCCCTCCTCGCCCACTTATCCTTTTGATTTTTACCGCGGCATTCCCTCTCCCTTTTGGTTTTGTCGGACCCCTCCCCTTGTAAAAGAAGAGGAAAATTTTGTTGGGAGCGCATCAAAGGGTGCCGCCCCACCCCCGACATACCCTCCTAATCCATTGCTAATCCTTCAAAGGATGCCGCCCACCGACATCACCTCCTAATCCCTTCTAATCCCCTCCTAATCCCCCGCGAATCCCCCGACATAACCCTATTATACACTACTATGGTAATTAATCGAAGATATTTTGTAAAATATTTTGAAAAATAAAAAACGATATTTTGAAAATATAGATAAAATAAATTTTATCTTGATAGATTTTTTGAATTGAAAATTAAGCATTTTATCTGCGAATAAAAAATTATAATAATTTTTTTTCTAAAAATAAACTTTATAAATAACCAAACATTTTTTACTTTACCAAAATAATTTCTAAACAAACAAACATCAAAACACAACCTCATGTTTTTGTGCCTTTTTATCTAAAATTTCTCCATTTATTTATTTTCATTCCTGCCAACCTATTTGCAATCATATTTCCATCATTTTTCTATTTTTATACACATTTTACTTCCTCTTTAGAGAAATTTGATATAAAAAAGAAGGAACACTTTAACAAATAAAATAATATTTTTGTCAGCAGATGAAAAAACTCATGTTTATTTTTTTATTTTATCTTTTTACCCTTTTTATCATTTGTTAGATTTATTTAATAATTATAAATTTAATACCCGAAATTTTATCAAAAAAATGTGATGTCTGAGATTAATATTTAAATTATGACGAATTTTGTTTATAATTTCGAGAGAAAAAGGAAATGAAATATAAAATACAAAATTTGTGTGAAATAATTTAAAATTTAATATAGGATAATTGTCACGAGAGTATTTTAACATTTTATTAGTTTTCTCTAAAAAGTTATTTATTTTAGCACTCTATGATATTCAGAATCTTTTTTCTAAATAAATAACGTATTCTACTTAAGAGTCCAAAAATAGAATAAATTTTGGTAAAGACTTAATTAAGTTGAAATATTTGCGTGTCTGTTTGAAACAGACAAAACACTGTCAGGAAATGATTAATTCTTATTTTTAAAAATTGTTATTTTAAAAATATTCAATGTTTTGGTCGTTTTATGGATCCGACCGTGTTATGCGAGCCGGATTTCGCCCATAACCCAAATATTTTTTTTATTTTGTTATCTATTTTGGTTAAAATTGGGATTTTTATTTCTGTAGTTCTGAGAAGCTATAATTGATATAACTAAAAACTTTTTTTAAAGTTGTTATACTAAATACAGTCGTGGAAAAAAGTATGGAAGCGCTAGAAAATTTTTTCTTAATTCTTAATTTTTCATTCAAAAAATACGTTCTATATACCAATCGAAAGCTCTATTCGTATCTCAGTTGACATTTTTCTGCATTTTTCATGAAAATGAAAATTGGCCGAGATAATCCGGATCTACCGGATATACCAAATCCCATTTTTTCGGAAAAATTTTTCGGAAGAAATTTAACAAACCCATTTGATAAAGCATATTTTTGTGAGTATTTTCCACAAAACCGCTTAGAAATATCTTTTTTCGGAGCAGAGATATGATTTGTTGAAAATCGCATTTTTCGTCTATTTTTGCAAAAAATTCAATTTTTAA